GCCTGATTTATGAAAAATGATAAGATAGAAATAGGACAATGAGAAACTGCAAACACTTAACGAGTATAGGGAGTAGCAAAATTAGTGAGCAGAAAAACAAGATGTACTGGTAGACAAAAGAAGCAGGAAAAAAAACTGAGTGTCTTCTCAAGCATGTCTTAAAGGAAATGGTGCGTTTCTTGGATCTTTTCTTACGAGATGACAGACTCTGAGAGGTCTTACGTAAGGGGAAGGAGGATACAGAAGCAGCCTGATGGCGATGTCTCGGCGCGAGTTTCAGGCTTGTGTGACTCTATATTTAATTGTTATTGATTTATTTTTGTTCTGGCCATAGTAGGAGATTAAAAAAGAACCGTGTAATGCTCGATGATGTTAGCTGTGTGTGTGTGTGTGTGTGTGTGATGTGTGAGTGTGTGTCTGTGTGTGATGTGTGTTGTGTGTGTGTGTGATTTGATCGTGTAGAGTGTGTATGTTGTGACCAGAGAGAGAGCGAGAGAAGAAAAGAGATAGAAGAAAGCAGTTCATAACCAGGTGTGACACACACGACCACACCATTAGTCGCAAGGCACATTCCAGGACAGAAAATCCAGAAAAGTTTGTACACAAATCAGAGAACTGAAAGTCGCGGCTCGGCTTTTTAAGAGCAAGGCAAAATTACGGACTGCGATCTCTTTTTTCTTTTTCTTATCTCACCGAGGTATAACCGACAAGTGAGCAAGAATAAGCGAGCAGATTTCAAGAGGGAGCAAGCGATGTTCTCCTAACGAACAATGCAGAGTGTTATGGGTCGTCGCACTCGGCCGTTCTTCTACTTCTTAACTTCACACACTACCGATTCTCAGTACTGTGCAGGAAAGAAGACTGGACGGTCATAAAGAGGACACTATATATGATTTGGCCGCACAACCAGTGGGGGAAGGAAGGATCTAGTGGAGGGAGAAATATATTGAGTTTCACTGCACTTCCTGTACCCAGGTTTATTATAATACATATTAATTGTGTTTCATATTAATAAAATGATAGTAGTTAGTATGCATCTTTCCTAGTCGTGCAGCTCACTGATCGCTCTTAAGACCCTCCTCGCGGCTTGGTTCATTTCCCATGCGTAGAGTACTATGTTATCTTTCTTCACAACAATTTCATCCCCCACCATTACATAAGTTCACTATCACGTCAACTTACGATTTTATTCACTTCTAATCATGATAACATTGCTCTCATTGCACGGTATCTAGTACCACATTCTTCTGTCTTCGATCTCGTATCCGGTTTTACCTGGATTTCAAATTACGTAACTAGTGCCGTAATGCTGGAGGATTCTCTGTTCCTCCGCTAGGTACTTAGAGTTCGCTCAGACGGCCTTCATAATCCGCGCACATACTACAGTAATAATGGGTTGGTTCCGCGATGTATAGGATAATGACGGACGCCAATGTAAGGAACTGGATCGCTGTCTCTAAAGGCAATTATTAGCAAATTGCTTTCCCTTCGACCATATTCGCAAGCGCAAACGTAGCGCTTCAGTCAGATAAAGCCCTTCACTGACTAAAATTTACTGGTGAGCCTGTCTAAAATCATTCGCTAGACAGGCCAATACACGGAAGAGGGAGGAGAGGGAGAAGAGAGGGCCAGAGATAAAGAAGAGAAGAGAAAAAATGAGATGATTGCAATCACAGCGAGTTTTCGATTACTTGCCTTAGAGACCGAGACAGGGGAAACTGAAGAAAATGCACTTCGATAAGGAAGTAAGAGGAAAAGTTGAAAGCGAGAGGGTTCCACGAAAATATTTAGACTTTTGGGTAGATAATACAAAAAGTAGTAAACAATTTTTTTCATTATTTATTTTCAATCCTCTTGCAAAGCAATAACTTTTCACTTAAGACGTAGCAATGGAGAGAGTGGTTAGAATAATAATTTCCTTTGGCTCTGAGGTAAGGTAAGGACAAGACAGTTGCCCGAAAGGTATGTCTCCCTTTCTGAATTACCGAAAAGTATACAAGGTCGAATCCACTCAATTTAATGAGAATTTAAATTAAGGGCGTTTAAATGGACGTGTCAGCGGCACACAGCGACACCACACACACTACACACAAGAACCGTATTTGCGAGATAATGTTTAGGCTATGGTTCGGTCGAAAGATTAATTTCAAAACACAACACAGGTGTAACACATCATCTGTGCTATTGCTAGTTATTTTTTAGTCGAAACGAGTAATGTGATTACTCCAAATTAAGTTGATTCTGCGGAGATACCATATGACGCTATGGTGTTATTACTAGATAAAGTACAGGTTGAATTCCACAACCATAAGCTGTAATACATCAGTTGGGTCTTTAATAATAATAAATAATAAATCATATAAAATAATAAAAATAAATAATAAAAATAAACATAAATAATAAATAAATAAACTGTAATACATCAGTTGGTTCGGGTTAAATAAAGGATTAAAAAAACTTCCATAACAAGACTGCAATAATGGCAAGGTTAGTGTATTCTTATTCGTGACCTTGTACGAAGTGCTTCTGTGTTTTAAATTCATAGTTCTTTCTGTATCAGTTCGGTTATCAGTGAGATATTGTTTGATTCAGATCTCTCCTTGCTTTAATTAGGTATCTATACCTATGTCATTATTCATCTGTCTGTCTAGCCATCTATCTGTATAAGAAACCGATATATATATATATTATATATATATATATATATATAGATAATAGTATATGTGTGTGTGTGTGTGTGTGTGTGTGTGTGTGTGTGTGTGTGTGTGTGTGTGTGGTGTGTGTGTGTGTGTGTGTGTGTGTATGTGTGTGGTGTGTGTGTGTATATATATATATATATATATATATATATATATATATATATATATATATATATATATATATGTATGTATGTAACACACACACACACACACACACACACACACACACACACACACACACACACACACACACACACACACACACACACACACACCAATACACTATATATATATATATAGTATATATTATAATATATATATATATATATATATGTAATATATATATATATATATACTTATGTTTCAAAAAAGGAAAACCAGATTTACCTCGTCACCGCTCTTGAAGTTTTCAGATCAAAGGAAAATATCAAGCAGAAAATAAAAATGACATTACCTCTCCACTTCAATTATTTTTGCTGCATGTTCAGGCATTTTCCTGAAGTCCCAGACGAAGGTTTAAAGCTGGAGAATTGTAAATATTTTGAATATTTGAGACTTAGTGGATGTATGTACTGTGCACGAGGAAGAATTCTGTTGCCAAGGATTATTTGCGATTTTTATATCATTCAGAAGAATTTTCTGTTGAGTTTGAAGTCGTTTCCTTTGCAATGTTATACTATTCCTCGTAAATGATATAAATTAATATAATAATTAAATATAAATATAAATTACTTTATATAATCAAGCACTTGCTTACAAAAGGGTGGAAAAGTTGAAAAGAAAAGAATAAAATAATTTTGTTTGGAAAAGAGAAAATCTTTTCAGCTGCCCACTCGGGATGTTTGCTCCAACCTGAACGAGGGACGGTTGCTGACTGGCTGAAAGTTACGAACTCAACTGAATGCCAAGAAAAAAAATATGAAAGTTGAATTCTATGGTAAAAAATGGTTGACTCTTTGTACTTGTTGCCACGGCTGAGTGCTAAGAAAAATATGAAAGTTAAATTCTTGGGGAAAAAATGGTTGTACTTGTAGTTGTTGCCATAGCTGAATCCCAAGAAAAAAATATGAAAGTTGAATTCTTTTGTAAAAATGATTGACTCTTGTACTTGTTGCCACAGTCACAGCCGTCGTTGTGGATTCTATCAATCACTTCAGGTACATTACCTCTATTGAAAGAATACATAGAACTCTTTTTCCGTCGATAAAAGGTGAAGTATTAGATATAAAATTACGTCGTAACGCTTTTGTCTCGGCTTTTGGCCAGCACACGCACACGCACACGCACACGCACACGCGCGCACACCACGCACACACACACACACACACACACACACACACACACACACACACACACACACACACACACACACACACACACACACACACACACACACACACACAGAGAGAGAGAGAGAGAGAGAGAAAGAGAGAGGGAGAGACTCATCCATGAATATCAAATCCTGTGAGGATGGTTAGTGAGGTCTCTTTATATGCATTAGTAGATTGTTCCTGCCGGCTACTGTCTTGTCCTCTAAACGTATTCATAGAATCTGTTCACGCCAACTACTTGGGGGTTAGAGAGAGATTGAGGAATGTGAGGAAAGAGAAAGAGAAGGAAGATAGGAGAGAGGAAGGTGGATAGAGAAACAGTGTGATCCATTAGCTGTGAATGAACGGAGTTACGTAGCTTCACCCTAACCAGTCATTGTAATTTTGTGAACCTTCTCAGGCTGCAAAGTGGAAGTGAACATCAGAATACTCGCCGGGAAACGCGAAGAACGAGAAGAAAACCCGATGAAAAGGGAATGGAAAGGAACAGGAAGTAGCAAGACAGCGGAAACGCCAGCCACTCTCGCCCCAAAACCTTCGGGAATTTTTTCCAACCAATCTGTGCATCTAAAATTAAACTAAAATCAATATAAACGTTACTTCTTTTAGCTATAACTATTGGGGAAGAGTTTGTGTTTATTCACCAACATTATTGAGTAATTTTATGAATTATGAATAAGAATTAGATTAATTTTTTAGTATTATGATTTCTCTCCTGTTTCGGATGACAAGCAAAAGCTAACTGTACCCCTTACTGTGTGATAAAACCCGTGCTCACGTGTAGAAATCAGATCCCCGGGATGACAATATACAAAATCCTGTAAGATCTGTGCTTTCAGAAGGTATCAGTCCTGAATTCCAAAACCTCTCTAAAAAAAGAAAAGAAGTGTATAATAACTCGCCGTGTAGCTGTGCAAAAGGGAAAATCGGTTTACAGTTTATCGGATGAATAAAAAGGTGTCTTCTTCANATACTTGTACATCATAACAACAGTAGAACATCTCATATTTTTACAATTATCCAAAAATATTTCATGTTAATATCATTCAGTATTTTTGATAAGGAATATGAAGCAATGAAATCTATGATCATGAAAATAATCACAGTTACATAAAATTCAGAATCCATTACACTTCGATTTACATTCATATATTATAATGATTTATAATTGGGGTGGGGGATAAATTTTAAAATACTATTTCTCTTGAGAAATAATTGAGTAAATATAAACTGTGCTTGTCCTTTTACTGTTGATGAATTTTCAATGTTTAATAACTGAAGCAAAGAACAGATCTCTTCACAAAAAATATTTTTGGAATACTCTGCTAATCAAATGCAAAGTAAAACATACATTCTCAAAAAATAAAATGACATCCCTTTAGCACATGCACTTCGACAGACATATTCAAAACTAAAACTCAAATCAAATCATCATTACCTTCTTTTTTCATATATTATATAGTACCTGAAATCACATTTACATGTCAAAAAAATCTATATTTGTAATGCAGTGGTAACTGAAACCTTTCCTTAGTTCCCATTATATGTTACAAACTCTCAAACTTTTAAGAACACAGCACCTATTTTATGAAGTATTCACTTATCATTTATTCAGGATCTGAATAATGCAACTGAATATAATTAAATCTAAAATCCTCTTTAATGCTTTCCGAAACATTTATATGACAAAATAATGCACCTATAAATAATAAGCACATTCTGAAATATTTATACATCTTGAAACAATCTTTTCTTCTTTCTTGTCCTGAAATAATATCCAAAATTAGCAATGGTTTTCATACCTTGTATTCTACTGTGAACCTAGTTGCTCTTTTATAATGTCTTTCTTATACTGTAATAGTCTTTCTCGCTCTTTGATGAAGTCTGATGAGAATTCCACATGGACAGTTTTATAAATGCCTTAATCTAGTTAGCATTGTTATTCACTCTCCGTCTTTGGTTGGGCCTTTCCTCAACAACAATAGAACCTGCAATGATATCATACACTGTGCGATTGTGTTGGAATGAGAAAAGTGTGAAGCAGATTGGGAAGAGGAAGGTCAAGGAGAAATTCTTCACCACGGAACGAATGGCAGCACGACTTAAACTGGAATGGGCAGAAAGGAAAATTAGTTAAAAAAGCATCTGCCATTCAACCCAGTAAATATATCTGTCTTAAACAAAACATAAAGATATACCATCGCAACAGTTTTTCTTAAATGTGAACTTACCCTAAATCTGATGCAGGGAAAACTAAAGCTTGTTCACCTAACGTGGGCACAACCCACTCACATCGAACGACCTTGAGCCCTATCAGTTTCTTGCCTGGAGTTGCTCCGCCTGTCCCACCTGAACCACGGTGTAAACAAAGGGCCTGTAAACAGACAAATCATTATTGGAAATGTGCCACCAGAAACAGAAGTGCTGATTCACATGATTAGCAATCTAATCATCATTTTTCAAAAAACAATTCATGCCATATAATGTAACACAGAAAGTAACAAGTTTGCTTACCTCAAACACACAAGTGCCAATACGGTGGATTAACTCAAGTACAAGAATTTCTGATGTCATTTCAAGAGCAAATTTGTAATCAGCCATGATGTCAGCTCCTAAATTCTCAAAATCATATTTTTCAACATCACTCCTGAAAAAAATGCATAATT